TTTTTTTTTTTTTTTTGGTCATAGATTGGTGTAATAATATTAATTTCTGCATTATTCAGATTATAGTTAGGCTAATTATTAATAATTAATATAAAATTTTTTCTAAAGGTAAGCAGTTAGAATAATATCATATACTAAAATTAACTGATTTTAGTATACGAATATGATTTAGTATAGATTATAGTATATTTAGTAATTAATTTTAAATTAAATTTAGGGCCTGATAATTTTATTTAATAATTATTAAATTTAATTCAAAATTAACAAGATTCAAATTAATGATGACATGGCTTTTTTCTTTCTTTTTTAAATTTAAGTAAGTAAAGTTTATTGTACAAGGTATAAACCTGTTATAAAGGGGGTTACAAAAGGTATCTAACCTTAGTTGGTTTGTAATATATTTATAATACATTAATTCCAATATAATCTACATCTTGCCAAAAACCATTGACACATTTTTGAGTGCTACAGACTTAAATATATAACTTTGTCTGTCATAGTACTCAACTACAAAAATCTTTTAGATAGATTATAGAAATTATTAATAAATACAATTTACAACTATATGGAAAATTATTACATAAACTTATCATCATTGCTCTTAACCTATGTACAAAGGTTGTATTAATCTTACCAATCACAGCTTTTGTCTATGACAGGAAATTGAGAAATTTTTTAAACAATATTATAAGTTGTTCATCTTCTCTTCATATAATCTTATATTATAGGTATATATAAGAACAAAAACACAAGCACAAAACCCTTAATATTAGATTATATTGTTATATTATAACTCACAAAATTACTCGAATTATAGTCTCCTAGATATCTTGACACAAATAATTTCAAAAACATTTTATATCTCTTTCGAGCTTTGTTCTATTATAAACTATAATATCATGGTACAGTACTTATTATAGATTACTTGTCAAACAGAACATTCAATATTCATTATCATAAGGTATGAATGTAGAGCTTAAATATATTCTATAAAATCCTGTTTTCATGACTGTAACAATCATATGACTAATACTTCTATCCTTCTATTTAACTACCATTTCAAATTGATAATCGGATCCTATTTAAACACTTTCTCCAGGTTGATATCATATGAGTATTTTTGTTTATCCTTAATGTAGTAATCGTCTCTTA